GACCCTTTGTCTCCTTTTCTGTTTTTGATGGTGGGGGAGGGGTTACATGGATTAATTCGAAAATCAGAGGAGGAGGGGTTGTTTAGGGGTGTTGAAGTTGGGAAGAGGGGCCTGGTTGTATCCTTGCTCGAGTTTGCTGACGATACCGTGATTTTGGGTAAAGCTGATGGGGAGAATGTTTTCATGGTTAAAGCAGTGCTACGATGGTTTGAGTTGATGTCCGGGTTGCGGATTAATTTCAGTAAAAGCAGTGTTTACGGCTTTAATGTATCGACAAGGTGGTTGAATGGGATGGCTTGTTCCTTACGGTGTGGGGTTGGAAAAACACCTTTTTTGTATTTGGGTCTACCTATTGGTGGTAAATTTGGAAGTAAAAAAATGTGGGAACTAGTGGTAAATAAGTTTCGTGCCAAACTTGCCGTCTGGAAGTCTGTTTCGTTGTTTTTTGGCGGCCGCATCACTTTGCTCAATACGGTACTCTCTGCTTTACCCATTTTTTACATGTCTCTATTTTTAATTCCTTGTTCTGTGGTTGCTGAATTGGTTAAAATCCAAAGGAGGTTTCTGTGGGGGGGGGGGGCTGGATTGAGTAGGAAAATTCCATGGGTTAAATGGGATGTGGTTTGCGGCAACAAGGCGCAGGGAGGTTTAGGGGTGTCGGATTTGCGTAGGAAAAATTGGGCATTATTAGGTAAGTGGTGGTTTTGGTTTGGTGATGGTGTGGGGAGTTTGTGGAAGCGGGTAGTGAGGGAGAAATACTAAGAGGGTCGGTGTGAGGTGGATATAACAGCAATTTCTAATTTAAGAGTGTCGAAGGTATGGAAGGATATCATTAGCATCGGGGGGAGATCAGTTAGGCTGAGGAATATGTTAGGGAATGGGTTTAGATGGGAGGTAGGGTGTGGAAGTAGGGTGGGTTTTTGGAGGGAGAAGTGGGCGGGTGACAATTCTTTAAGGGATTTATGTCCCAGACTATTTGCCTTGGCTGCGAATAAGGAAGGTTCGGTGGGTGACATGGGGGAATGGGTAGGAGATAGGTGGCAGTGGAATCTGGTTTGGAGAAGGGGGAGAATGGGGCGAGAAAAGGACGAGGAGGAGGCTTTGTGGGGGGTAGTGGATTGCGTTCATTTAAAGAAAGGTCGGGAGGACGTTTGTTCTTGGATTCATGACCCAGGGGGAAAATATTTGGTTAGGACAGCTTATGAATTTTTATTTCCTGAGGAGTGTCATCTGGATACCCAATACTGTAGGCTTATTTGGTGTAGGTTAGTGCCTTTGAAAGTTAGTTTTTTTGGCTGGAGGTTATTCCTTGACCGGCTGCCAACAAAATGGAATTTACAAAAAAGGGGTGTGACGTTGCAGCAAGAGGGATTGCTTTGTGGTTTGTGTCATGAAGGGCTGGAGGATGTAGATCATTTATTTTGTACTTGTAGGGAAGCTTGGTTAGTTTGGGTTAAGGTGCTGAAATGGTGGGGTTTTGAAACTGTCATGATGTATACAGTTAGGGGTGTGGCAGATTTCTTCTTGTTTGATTTAGGTAGAGTTATAGGGAAGGAGTTGGGTGCATGTGTTTTTCTTGTTGTTGCATGGTATCTTTGGTATTGGAGGAATGCTTTTGTATTTAAGAATTATGGGAGTATGCAGGAGTGTTTGTTGGATAAGGTACAAATGAAGTCTTTCTTTTGGGTTAAAAATAAAGTGGATGGCTGTGCTTTCTCTTTGTATGAGTGGCAGATGAATCCAATTGAGTGTGCCTTAGCTATTAAAAGGTATAAGAGGATGTTGAAGAGTTTTCAAAAGCAGCAGCAACGTAGTATCTGAGTTCTTCATGTAGGCATTCATGAGATGCTGTTTCTGGTCAGCTTTGCTATTTTTGGCAGCTGGTCTGGTTTGTTAATGCCAACACTAGGATCTTACCTTTGTATATGGGTTGGAGTACCCCTTGTACTCCCTCAAATAATATAATTTCCTTTGTTTTGCTGATAAAAAAAAAAACTATCTTAAAATTTTAAAAAATGATTAGTATACTATCCGATTGAATATACCTAACAACACTAATTAGTTTAGTTATTTAAATTTATTTTTAAAAATTTCTCGCATTAAACTTAAATTTGAAAACAATGAGTGGTTTTATCTGATATTATAATTGATAATAATAATTATTAATAATTTAAATAATTTTACTCATTAAATTAAATAAAATCACTAACTATTACTTTTAAAATACTATGCTTAACAATCTCAAAATTTCAATAATTCATTTTTTCATTTTTAATAATAAAAATTTATTATAATTTTTTAAATAAAAATAATTATTTTTAATAAATATAAATAAATGTTAAATAACTATTAAAAATAAAAAATAATTATAATTTTATATAAATATAATATATAAAAATTTTATGTAAATAAATTCCTTTTCATAAATATATTGTTAG